CATAATAAGAGCAATAAGTATTAATCATGATACATAGGTACATCTATTTATATATGATGCAAGCAAAAAATGGCAGTGTAAATAAACAAATGTTCTATTGTGCATGTCCTTTTGCAAGCCACTGTACCCATAAAACCGTAAGTCAATTGTATACACTTTGGAAAGAACGTACGTGATCTGGTCCTTTTTTCTACATGGTCAATGGTCAATTCTAAATTCACAAAAAAGATCACAATTCTTTATATTGACTATATTGAACTGATAGCATGTGGACAATGTTATGGCAAAATTTGCGGTAATATTTTCGCAAGAGTTTGAGATAGTGGTGATAAACTACTATTGTAGCCACAGCTGCCCTGAGGCACACTGACAGAAACAAGGCAACCAGTATGTGCCATGCTTCTAGTATGTGACTCCTTTTAGGCAATGTGGACCAAGTGTCTCGCCTAAGAAATACGAATGATATAACAGTTTAGCACATTACAGCCACAGCCACTCCACATGTGGCATCTGGTGTTCTCAGAGGTCTCCCATCACCGCACTAACCAGGCCCTGCCCTCTACAGCGCCAGAGGTCTTATGGGATATGGCTTTCTCATGCAAGTACGGTCAGATGTTCGTAGATTCCTTTCAAAAAGCAGTTAATCGCCCATAGCTGTGCATAGTTCCCTCTCCATCATCTGAAGTCATGACATAATCAAATTCAAGACTGAAAAGGCAACCACAGCATGCCAGTATTTGATCTCTGTGTTTCTCTTGCTGCGACCCAGGCCCTATGTCTGAAAATCTAATACACAATGTAAATGAGACGCTGTTTATCTATTTTGGCCAGAAGCGATCGCCTTTTTTATAAATGATTTAAGCCCTAAAGTTTCAGGACTATTGAATCTCTTTGGAGACCACCCCTCTGCATCTCTCTTGCCTGATTTCCTCTTTACAGCTTACATCATTATTTGTGTTAGCCTGAAACGTACAGCTAGGCCCTGATTATTACAGGATTTTTTATTTACTGTCAAGAGAGCCTCAAATTTCCTCTTTTCTCACATGTTGCCAGTGCTTGTTCCTGATGAGCTACTGACGAATATTGACCAACTATAGCACTCCTCTTTCTTAACCTATAATTATTGGTGTTATTGACTTATTAGTGACAATTTATGCCACCTATGATTTTCAAAAATAAAAACAAAATTTGTCTCAGACCCCTGAAGACGTTTGAATATTCATTTGCTTGTCGGACGAAATGAAGCCTTTGAGAAATTGTCGTTCTTTCACACTTATTTTCACCTTTCATGAATCTTTTATAATCCTTTTAATTGTCACGTTTATTCTGCAATTCTTGGGTATTCATCCTGTTTGAAAATGGAACTAATTATGAAAATGTATCACAATTTAGTGCATAATTTTCTGTCACATGAATAATTGGGCTTCTTTGTGCTCACCTATGCGTCCGTTAAAGCCTGAGTAATCAAACGTACGGACTACGGTGTGGCTTTGATATGCTAACGTTAGCCACAGAGTACTTGTGGCTGTCGGCATGAACCTCAACCTCAAAGCTTTCTCCACCTGACACTACATTTCTGGGGTGTAAAGTTATAATATTGAAACTTTCATCATCAGGACACGTCTCGTGGGTTTTACCACTTCGACGTACGCTCTTCACGCTGTTGGTAATTGCATTTCTCCCTCCAGGAACCATCATTCATTCTGGGTAATTAGCTGGTCCTGATCCCCTAAGCACGGCCCTGACCTCTTCATCTGCTGAAGGCTGACTCCAAGCCTTCATCACTGCTCACTGCTGACGGAGCTGACAGGCCCAGCACAGGTACCGCTCTTTGTTTGGCAAAATAAAGAGCCTTGCCAATAACCGGAGGAAGACAATACGCATTTTTCTCTCGCACAACAGACTAAGTGCCTGTGGATGCTTGCATTGTTTGTCTTTCCATGGCATAATGTAAGATATTCTCTTATGTACAATCAGCTTCACGCTCCTGCAACTAATGCACGACACGTATATGCAAAAGCTTCATCTGCCGTTTTGTCATTCACCAGCAGACGAAAGACAGAGACAGGCCCCCAGAGAGACAGACCGAGACGACCGAGAGAGGCTCCTGCTCGACGGAGAGGAGAGAGAGAGGGAGAGAGGACCGAGAGAGAGACAGAGAGACGAGGAGAGGGACAGAGAGGGACAGAGAGAGACAGAGGAGAAAGAGAGAGAGAGAAGAGAGAGAGAGGGGAGAGAGGAGAGAAGACAGAGACAGAGACAGAGACAGCGAGCGAGAGAGGAGAGGAGTAGTGAGGAGATGAGAGAGAGGGAGAGAGAGAGGAAGAGAGAGAGAGGTAGAGACGAAGAGAAGAGAGAGAGAGCGAAGAGACGAGGAGAGACAGAGAGAGACAGAGGAGAGAGTGAGAGAGAGATCGCACAGCGAGACAGAGAGCCCGGAGAGAGGAGAGAGCGAGAGAGTACTGCGAGATGAGAGCGGGACAGTGGAGAGAGAGAGAGTGGAGAGGCGGGAGAGAGGACGAGGAGATGGGCCAGGAGAAGAGAGAGAGAGAGAGAGAGAGAGAGAGAGAGAGAGAGAGAGAGAGAGAGACAGAGAGGCGACAGAGAGGAGACGAAGAGAGAGAGAGAGACAGAGAGCGAGGGAGACGAGGAGGACAGCGCAGCGAGCTGACGAGAGGAGAGGAGGATGATGAGAGGAGAGAGATGAGAGAGTGAGAGAGAGAGAGACAGAGAGAGACAGAAGAGGGCGAGATGAGAGACGAGAGAGAGAGAGACAGAGGGTGCCCGAGAGAGAGACGATGAGAGGAGGAAGAGAGAGAGGGAGAGAGAGAGGAGGAGAGAGAGAAGACAGAGAGGAGAGAGAGGAGATGAGAGACGAGAGAAGCGACGAGGAGAGGACGAGACAGAGGACAGAGAGATCAGATGAGGAGAGAGACAGAGAGGATAGAGAGAGAGAGAGCGAGAGAGACAGAGAGGAGAGAGAGCGAGAGAGAGACAGAGATGAGAGAGAGACGGGAGAGAGATAGAGAGAGGAGAGATAGACAGAGATGAGACCGAGAGAGACAGAGAGAGAGTGCGAGAAGAGAGACAGAGAAGAGACAGAGAGACAGAGAGACGAGGAGAGATGTAGAGCGAGAGAGAGAGGAGAGAAGAGAGGAGAGAGACAGAGGAGAGAGAGAGAGCGAGAGAGACATGAGAGAGAGGAGAGAGAGAGAGGAAGAGGAAAGAGAGAAAGAGACAGAGGAGAGAGTTACAGAGAGGAGAGAGAGAGAGAGGAAGGCGACGAGCGAGAGGAGCGAGGAGAGTGAGGAGAGAGAGATGGAGCGAGAGAGAAGGAGGAGAGAAGAGAGAGAGATGAGATGAAGAGAGAGAGCGACAGTTAGGCGAGAGTGGAGAGAGCGAGAGAGAGAGAGGAGGAGAGCGAGCGACGATGAGAGAGAGAGACGAGAGAGGAGGGAGAGAGGAGGAGAGAGCCCAGAGATAGACAGAGAGACAGAGAGACGAGGAGAGACCGAGAGACAGCGAGACAGAGAGACAGAGAGACAGAGAGACAGAGAGAGACAGAGAGAGACAGAGAGACAGAGAGCAGAGAGAGGGAGGGGAGGGGTCCTGAGTGCTTCTTCGAACAAAAGGAACACATGGATGATTGAAATACACCCCTTTTGCCCACTTTCCTAGGTTTTTCTCGTGACAAGTTCTAAATCAGTGGTAAGTTTTTTTCTCACGTCAAACGACCTTTACATTTTATCCTTAAATCGTCGTAATGGAAAACATTATATTAGCTTACCTGGTTAACAGTTCCGCGAATTTCTTTTTTTTTTTGATTCCTCTGTAACTATTTAAACATTACCATCAGCATAAGAGAAAAACTTCCATAACTGATCATTTCCTCACATGGAAACTCGAATACTACAGCCAAGAGGCTCTCTTTTTCTCATTAATCGATTCATTTTATCAGAATCCACATTTTAAATACTTGGCTTTTCTTCTGTTTAAAATAATTGTACCCTTTTTTTCCGCCCCCGGGGGATATATAGGCAGGTTTTTTATCCTATCACTTCTGACCTAACTGTCCCTATTTCTCTAATCTATTTATCTCAAAACCTTGTGCCTCTTATGCACCTTTTTAAAATCGGTGTGCCTCTTTTCGCACTTATAAATCCTGTGGTCTCTTTTCAAATCTATGTTCTGTTTTTTTAAGGAGGGACCAATGCTTCCCCAAGGCTAAAAAGTCTAAACCTGACTATTGTTTCTATCGCGTCGATAGAAACGCCCCGTCACGGCGGGTCGTCTGGCCACGCTGCAATCTGTCGAGCCAAAATCTCTCTCTCTTCTATTTTAAAAACAATGTGCAGATTTTCAAAACTGTGATCCGCTTACCTTAGAAGCGACCTTTTTGAAGAGCAGATGACGATTTTTCCAAACCCACAAATCCAGTCTCTCTAACTGAGCTCATCTCCGTCTTCTTTCTGTATCAAAAATCACGTCTCGGGTCACCAAATGTAGCCAATAATTCCCTTTGGCTGACGTTGTCCACAATTTGGTACAGAATCAGACGAAGATATCCAAGATTAAAACATCTGCATTTAATTATCTTTACAATCAGATACAGAATATTCAACAAAAAAGTGCTCCCTTACAAACTATATGTCCTCTTCTCTTCCCCTGCGCTAACCTTCCCCCCAGGAACTCAAACCAACAGTTTTATCAAGACGTGTCTGATGATGTCACTTGTGGGACTGCGGTCTGGCCCATGGTCCTGGTCTGGACCCGGTACCCTTCCATCTCCACCTGAGCAAACAATGCCCCCCACCACTGGGCGCTGATTGTGTTGGACTTTTGCCCTCGTCGAGAGTGGGAGAGAGAGCATTTGTTTTTCTTGGAGTCAATAATTGTCTGTTTTGTAAGCTGGTCATCTCTATGATTCCTGAGTGCATTATTCCTTTGTCTGATGTTGCAGCATTTTGTGAAATATTCGTCATGAAGGCTCTGCTTGTGTCTCATGATGAGGCTCTGCTAGGTGTCTCATGGTGAATCCGTGCTGGTGTCTCATGGTGAGGCTGTGCTGGTGTCTCATGGTGAGGCTGTGCTGGTTGTCTCATGGTGAAACCGTGCTTTTGTCTCATGATGAGGTCTGCTGGTGTCTCATGGTGAATCCGTGCTGGTGTCTCATGGTGAGGTGTGCTGGTGTCTCTATGGTGAGGCTGTGCTGGTGTCTCAGGTGAAAACCGTGCTTTTGTCTCATGGTGAGGCTCTGCTGGTTTGTCTATGGTGAGGCTGTGCTGGTGTCTCATGGTGGGCTGTGCTGGTGTCTCATGGTGAAACCGTGCTTTTGTCTCATGGTGAGGCTCTGCTGGTGTCTCATGGTGAGGCTGTGCTGGTGTCTCATGGTGGGCTGTGCTGGGTGTCTCCTGGTGAGGGCTGTGCTGGGTGTCTCATCGGTGAGGTGTCTGGTATCTCCTGGTGAGGCTGTGCTGAGTGTCTCATTGTGAGGCTGTGCTTGTGTCTCATGGTGAGGCTGTGCTGGTGTCTCATGGTGAATCCGTGCTTTTGTCTCATGGTGAGGCTCTGCTGGTGTCTCATGGTGAGGCTCTGCTGGTGTCTCATGGTGTGGCTGTGCTGGGTATCTCCTGGCGAGGCTGTGCTGGTGTCTGCATGGTGAGGCTGTGCTGGTGTCTCATGGTGAGGCTGTGCTGGTGTCTCATGGTGAGGCTGTGTGGTGTCTCATGGTGAGGCTCTGCTGGTGTCTCATGGCGAATCCATGCTGGTGTGTCATAGTGAGGCTGGTGCTGGTGTCTCATTCATGATACTTTCATGAATGGTGAGGCTTGCTGGTTGTCTCATGGTGACGCTTGTGGTCCAGCTTGTGTCTGGTATAACATGATAAATATCATGTTATTTCATGATACACAACTATCATGTTATTTCATGATACCAATTTATCATGAAATTTCATGATACCAATTTATCATGTTATTTCATGATACCAGTTTATCATGTTATTTCATGATACCAGTTTATCATGTTATTTCATGATACCAATTTATCATGTTATTTCATGATACCAATTTATCATGTTATTTCATGATACCAATTTATCATGTTATTTCATGATACCAGTTTATCATGTTATTTCATGATACCAGTTTATCATGTTATTTCATGATACCAGTTTATCATGTTATTTCATGATACCAGTTTATCATGTTATTTCATGATACCAGTTTATCATGAAATAACATGATACTGTAGATACAGAAGAAGAAGAAGCTGTAGACGTCAGACCATGCCGCCAGGCTCAGCGTTGCGCCAGCATCCGGTATGGCTCAAGCAAAGGGTCCGCTTTATGCCTTTCTGCGACAGCGAGGGGTGTCAGAGACATCTTTGTCGCGGATGCAGGAAGACAGAGTAAGTAATCAATGTGAATTAATGAACTCCTATCACCATAATTACTTATTTAGCTCCGTGAGGCTGGCGTGTTAGCATGTTAGGCTAGGGAGTTAGCTTGTTAGCCTAGCTATGTTCGTCCCATGATGGTCAAGTTAAAGGCTAAATTGTCCTTGCAGGCCTTAAATGAAACCGTTGTTGAAGAAATAATGACCAAAAAATAGGGTCAGAATAATTCAATTGTTAGTATATAGCGCTAAACTGCGTTAACACTAGTAGGCTGTAGTTGTGCATGTTAGCTCTTTTACAACTTGTAATTAACTGTATGGTGCTTTTTATTTTACTGTTTACAATCCTTAAATATTATAAATCACTGTGGATATAGAAATTATATGCAAGTTCACAACTGGCAGCATGTAACCAGGGTGACTCATAAACAAGATTTTAGTGTTTAGTGTTAATATTGTCACTTAACCATACACAAATATATATTATCAGGCTGTTCTGTGTATTGTAGCATCCGTTGTTGGGCTGTAGGCCTAAAATCTTGAGATGCACAGCCACTGTTTTCTATTGATTTGTACTGATGTGATATTTTATTATTACGATACTTACATTCATGTTTTTCTTTTATTACAGGTTGATGCCACTGTAATTGACCTGATGGATGATGCCAGTTTAGCTGTCTACTTGCCAGCATACGGAGATAGACTTGCAGCAAGGCGTTTTTGTTTGGAAAACAGAGAAGGACCTAGTACGAAAGACTGCAGGAAACATTCCTTACTTGAGAAATTAAAGCACAAGATGGGCATTGATGGAAAAGAAGATTCAGAAGGAACAGAGGGGTATCCTGCACCAAAGAAAAAACAATCTCATGCCACCAACAACAAATGGGCCAGAAAGAAAACAAGAAAAATAGAGGTAGGATGGTTTCATGAAGGAAAGCAAGTGAGAAAAAGAAAAGGTGGAGGGACCCGGACCATAGAAGTGCCTAAAGAAACGAACAAAGCAGATCTATTACAATACGCCACAGACTTATTCTTTCCTGGAGGAAAAAACAAATTTGGAAGATTCGAAACCTTTTCATGTGACATCGTTGACTATCAGGAAGAAGCCATCCTAGATGATGGTGTGACGGTTGGTGATTTGTATGAGACACTCAAAATGAGCATGCTAAGATTCTATCTGTGGACAAAGAGCCTGCCTGATGATGAAGATGATACAAACATTGAAGAGGTATATGAACAAGGCCAAGAGGATGTCGACATGGCCCAAGATTTTGAAGATGCATTATCAAATACATCTGAAGTCATTGTAGGGGCAATAGATGTCCAAGATGGTTATGCTCAGCTTGATGACACTTTAGAATGGTTTCCCAGTCCGCAACATGATGAAGTGATCATCACATTTATTACACCTCCAACCACAATCACTACAAACAATGTAACGGTGACCTCGGCACCTTTAACTATGAGCACTGTGCCGCAACAGTCTTGTGGGGTTGAAATAAGCAATGTTAAGTCTGTTATGGTCAAAATTCACAGGGTCAATATTCTTGAGGAAATGATCTGTCAATTCAAAGACTCCAAAATGCTTGATTTCCCCCTGAAATATGCTTACATTGATGAGAAGGGAGCTGATGCAGCTGGCATATCACGAGATGTGTATGCAGCCTTTTGGAATGAGCTAATGGAACATGCAGCTGAAGGAGAGGAGCTGAGAGTTCCAATTCTTCAACCTAGATGGCAGGAGGAAGAGTGGAAAGCTATTGCTAGGATTCTGATTAAAGGATTCAAAGACTGTGGCTACTTCCCATGTCGCCTTGCTCCTGTTTTTGCTGTCACTGTCATATTTGGTGAGAAGGAAGTCTCAGATGATATGCTGTTAAAAAACCTTCTCCTGTACATTAACCATTCAGACAGGGATTTGCTCACTAAAGCCTTAAAAAACGAACTTTCAGATGAGGAGAAGGATGACCTGCTTGATCTTTTGGATCGATTAAATGTAACAAGTATTCCGACAAAAGACAACCTAGGAGGCATACTTCTCAGAGTTGCACATAAGCAGCTGATTCAAAAACCAAGGTATGCAGCAGAGAAGATGTCTTTCATCGCTTCTGTATTCTTTCAAGCTGCATTTCCGAGCCCTCAAGATGTGGTTCTAATGTATGAAGGGAAAAAACCAACAGCAAAAAAGTTTATTAAGCTTTTGGATGCATCACCTACAACTCAAGCTGAGAGTCAGAGTCTGCGCTTTCTAAAGCAGTATATCAGAGGGCTGGACAATACAGGACTCAGAAAGCTTTTGAGATTTGTCACAGGGTCAGATGTCATCTGCGTTGAGAAAGTCGAAATACTCTTCACATCAATTGATGGAGTTGCACGTCGCCCTGTGGCTCATACATGTGGGCCAACATTAGAGCTTCCTTGGACCTACATTTCTTACCCAGAGTTGCGAGTTGAAATAGATGGTATACTGTCCAGTGAGAGCTCTCTGATGTTTGGTTTTGTTTAGAGGCGCGATGTCTTGTTCTGTTCTATTCCATGGCAAGATGCGTCAAAGCAATTAGAGAAAATTGAAATTCACTGATTTATGTTAATGTTTTTAAGCAGTTTACTTTTAAGAGGCACAAGCTCTTGGATTCGGCAGTTTTCTGAAAAATAAATATTAGGGCCTACTTAGTTTTAATTTTGACAAGTTCTCATAGCAGTCAACTGCTATTGGCAAAGCATACTATCTCACAGTAGGCATTAGTGTGGTCAAATGCTTGATGTTAGTGTTAAATATGATTACTAGACCAAGGCAAAATATGTTCACTATTACAAGGGTTAATGAGTGTGATGTGTTTTGACATGTTTTAAATCAAGCGTTTTAACACCATTTCTGAGGTGTGCCATGTTCAGATTACATCCTTTTGCCTGATTCTTTATAGTGAAAAGCATTTTAAAAACCACTGTTTGTAGGTTTTCTAAAATGTAATTTGTGTAGTCAGGCAATGTTTTTACAGTTTGTGTGCCCTGTTCAAATGATACTGTGATAAAAAGTAACTTTTTTGCAAACTTTATTCAAAATGTTATTTTTGTGGAATAGTAAGACATTTGCAAAACAGATTTGGGTGTTTCCACATAAAGTTCCTCCTTCACAACATAAAACACATTCATAGCAAAAAGAATACCAGAAATCAGATTGATTCCTTGGTCTATAGCCACTCTGCTTGTTTATTAGTTCAGCAGTTCATCAAGGCAAGTGTCACAGTACTGGAGATCAACTTTATTGAATTATTTTACATATTTTGATGTATGTATACTCTCAGAAATAAATATAACTCTATGCATTCATTTGCAGTGGTGGGTGGAGTTAGAAAATGTTCTTCCATTGCAATGCAACAAAATTCAAAGACCGTTTCATCACAAGTATAGGGTCCTCGCCATAAGCATTCTTCTTTACAAACAGCAACTGCTTCCTGTGAGACCGCTTTTAAGTGATCCTGCCCACCAAAAATGTGTGGAATGGTATACATGAGAAGTGGGCGTCCTCTAGGTGCCACAGCATTTCTGCTTGAGCGAATGGTGTGTGTATTCCATAAACAGGAAAGATCCTGCAGCTCTCTCTGCACATAAAGGAAAAGACCATTAAGTTAGACACCATATTGTACAGTAAAAATTAGTATACAACCTGATACGCCTACAGAATTATCACTTTGTCTAGATGCTGAAAAGTAGTGATGGGCAAACAATACCAATTGTAATTGTGCTTTTTTTGTACAATTACAATTAATACAATTCACTGTCATCTACCGTTTATGTTTCATGGTGAAATTTTCATTATTACAAGTGGGGATAATCAGAAGCTGAAATGATTACATTTGTCCACTAGGTGTCAGTGTTACAACCAAGTATGAACTCGGAGGCTCCGAGACATTTGAAACAATCTGGCAAAGAACCCTCACTGTGTTACAGGGCTTCATCTGCCCATCCCTACTGAATAGTCTTATCTTGATTTGCATAGGATCCATACGTATGTTGCATTCAAGACCGTCTCAAATGTAACAACGTCATAGGGAGCAAGTGGTTTATATAATAACATGGGAGAAAGACAGAAAATATTAAAATTAACAAATGGTCAATCTTATTGTTTTTGAGGGATTAGGGCTCTAATCCTGCCATATTGGCCTTGTGTCTGGAAAAATAACGTTAAAATAACTAATTTCATGCCAAGGT